ATTCGTTTTCATGATACAAGATGTTCAAAAATTGATTTTTATACACATTTTTCACGATTATGTCGAAACTAATGGCAACATTGTAATGAAATTTTGTATGAATATTTCTTGAAATTTGACACATCACATGAATTTGTTTTTATATCTGACTCTCATAGAGGGCGCTAGTTACAGGGTTCGTAACGAGTAGTTTGGGACGTTACTTTTTTGAGGTTATAATTTTTCAATCCAAATATGATATGAACTTGAACATCATTCAATTTTACACCAAAAAGGTACTCTTGGTGAAACTTACAATATTCCGTTTTCGGAATATTTCGATTTGAAAATAATGGAGTAATAGCTGATGCTGGTATAAAATGAATTTTATCGAGTTCAATTACCTATTTATTCAGATTCAGAAACAATAAAATTATTCTTGAAGTTATCGATGGAACAAAGAAACAAGTAGAAAATTGAGCGATATTTGACTTGAAACATGAAATATTGAATCAGTTAGAGTGTTCAAAATGTCCTACGTTTCGAAGAAAAAACGATTCTATATTCTTTTTTTAAGAATGTATTGTTCTTAACAGTTGAGGATCAGCTGTTAGGCCATTCTAGTGATGTTCAATTATGTCTTACAACTCTGGACGTGAATTTACCTACGTAGCATAGACTTTCTGCTAAAAATACAACAAAACTGTGTAATCCATGTTCTTAGTCAAATCTGTTTCGATGTTATTCTCGTGATTCATTGTTAAATCAATAATAAGTTCAGCATCAAGAATGTATTGTTGTTTTTGGTTTTCAATAAATAGGTGATAATTTTTCATAATACTCACTCTAATCTAATACATAGCTTTATACCAGCAACAGAGTTATCACTTCATTGTTTTCAAATCGAAATATTCCGAAAACGGAACACAGTATCGAGTTTTAGCAAGAGTACCTTTTTGGTGTGGAATTGGATGATGTTCAAGTTCACATCAAATTTGGATTGAAAAATCTAACCTCAAAAAAGTTATGTTCAAAACTACTCGGTACGAACCGTGTAACTAGCGCCCTCTATGAGAGTCAGATATAAAAACAAATGCATGCGATGTGTCAGATTCCAAGAAACATCCATACAAAATTTCACTACAATGTTGCTAGTATAGTTTCGACATAATCTTGAAAAATGTGTAAAAAAATCATTTTTACAACACCTTGTATCTTGATAACGGATGCAGTTACGAACTTTTTTTACTGAGTAAACCCTACTTATTTTGCAGTGTTCTACCTACCCTAGTAAGGGGGTCAGGTTTTTTTTAAACACCCTGTATTTAAATGTCAATAATCATTTGTTGTATATATTGAGTGTTCTGGTACAGTAATAGAGCTTCTGTCCGGTAATCTGAAGGTCGCGGGATCGATCCCCGGCGTTTTTTTTTTTAATTTTTTTTCCAAAATAAGATTTAATCTTTGGTAGAAGTCCATGGTTTCTCAAAGTGGAGTCAAGTATTAAATACTAAATGAAACACAAAGTCATCTCCACGACATTTAAGGTGATTAACACACAAATTTGGTACATGTTTCGGACATATATATGTCCATCATCAGCCCTATATCGAAATTACATAATTGTCATGGGGATAAAAAAAAGGTTATTGTCATCAACTTTTTCATTATAAAATTATATAGTGAAGGGTTTTAACCCCCTCGGAAAACTGTTGTCATTTAAATTTTTGGTGGGAACCAACAAATGGCACACATGGATACGATATTGAAAATATCAAAAAGTGTCCCATTCTGTTTTAAAAATTGATATTTTCTTTGCCATTTACATAAAACGGGTTCAATCATTTTATTCGGGGGTGACAAAATGGCATCTATTATACTATTAATTATATAAAACACCATCGCCGAACGTAAACAAATGATATTGTTAAGGCAAATTGCATTTTAAGACTACGAAGGTCAATATCCAATTGATTTATTCGGCATATATTTTTTATACTCTCATTTTATTAAAAAAAATTTACAAAATCATTGCCGAACATTATTGTATGATGAAGCGCATACTCTACAGCCTGAAGACAAAAGTACGCGGGGATGGTTGGTCCCCGATCCAACCAAAATGTTTGGCGATTACATTAACTTGAGAATTTGTGAATAATTAGTTCAATTCACAAAATGCCAAACATAAACAAATGATAACTTTCAATTGAAAAATTGTTGACAATATTCAGCGCCACTGCGCATAGAATCCATCCTACACGGCAATGCGTCCACCCAAATCATTCGAGACCCCGGATTTTTTAATACAACTTCACCCACGCGCCCCCATCCTTGGTCCACGATTTTTATTCGGCGACCTCATATCCGTGTAGTGGAAGGTGGAATTTGGGGGGGTTCTCATACCGCTGAGTGTGAACAAGTGACACAAAAAAGACGCTATGGGCTACCGGTCTATTAGTATTACCTTCCATTTGTCAAGGTTTGAGAAGGAATGTCAATATGAATTTTCCCTATTCGCGATAGAAAATAACACATCGCTCCACCTGACGGCAATATTTTGAACATTTATGAGCGGTTTGTTTTGATGATCACCTAAGGAGTTCGAGGTTACCTACAAGGAATATTCATCTATAATGAATGTACAAAATTCCTTGGAACACAACTGGATTGTAAATTATCTTTCAACAAACATATTGAATACCTATGCATAACACTGAAAAAAACTTATTACGCTTTCCTAACATTGAAGTCGAATTTCACGAATCATAATCTACTGGACATTTACTATGCATTGGTATATTCCAAAATAAGTATAAATATTTCAATTTGGGGACTAGCATCAGATGTAAATCGGATCTTCATTATGCAAAAACGTTTTTTGCGTCTGATTTTTGATGTCAAATATAGAGAATCTTGCAAAAAAACATTTAAAAATAACCGTATTCTTACACTACCATGCATTTACCTTTATAAAACGCTAAGTTATGTTCATTTAAATTCCGTATCTTTCATGCAGAATAAAGAAATCCATCATCATTTTACAAGGAACAGAAATGATTTCCATTTGACCAAATGTAACTATTCCGGGTATAAAAAATCCCCAAATTACTCAGGAACAAAATATTTCAATTTACTTCCCCAAACCATCAAAGAAGAAAAAAAACCATATGAAATTTTAAAAGCTCCTCAAAGAATATCTTCTAACAGGTTGCTTTTACTCCCTCAAAGAGTATGAGAACCTCTCTTAATATGATGTATTTGCTGTACTATTCATGAGTACTTTGTTTGTATATTTGTCTTTTTGTTTTCGACGTGTTACATATACAATTTGTATAAAAAATGACGAAATAAACTTGAACTTGAATACCTACTGATTTCTGTTACTGTTATAGAAGAAGTAATATAACGTGTATCTCCTCTTATACACAGGGTGTACAGGAAATACGAAAAAACTGTTTCATAATTGAAATGCGACATGTAACAGTATCCTCTTTGATTGAATATATATTTCATCTCTCCCATAATTGCTGGAATACACTGTTTGATTCTTGCCTAACAGCAGCAATATAGAAAAAGACTTCAGTGATAAAAGAATAATAGCTCAGTGTTATTTATCAAGAGCAAAGAAATCAAGATTAAACATTCTGCAGCCTTTAGCGCCAAAACTATAAATAGCCATTATAGTTTGGTATTTGGGCATTTATTTGCCAGAATGCTTTGGAATATGAGTACTATAACATATACAAAAATTCTGTCAATTCGATAGGAGGCCACTTTTCCCTATAAAACGTGCGGTATATATTTTCTGATGAAGAGTATTGCCATCCAAGGGAATTCAACCAAACCATTGGTATATCCTTTGATAAATACTGTTAGGTTTCATCTAGAGGTGTTTAGGTGTTATCATTTAGAATCTAACACAGGCCATATGGATGTTTGTGTATGTATGCATAGATCTACTACTACTGGTACTGGTACTGGTGGGGGACGTTTTCACGTCAGCAACTAGTCCCCAATGGGACCTTTTTGCAAACCCCAAGTGTTTTCAATGACTGATGTGGTTCGCTGAAGAGAGCTGGCTAACATCCTTTTTCAGGCACCGCCCATCAGCTCTCTTTTCAGAGTTTTTCAGCGGTGTTTTGTAGGCTAGTAATGTACTCACTACCGTATGCGCAGTGGCAGGCCTGCTAACTATCATCGTTAACCCCCGAGACCGAGGTCTACTTAAGCAGCTGGCCCGCTCTCACGCTCAGCTGGTAGTTTTTCCACACCCACCTACATACACCGTCCTACTTCTTCTCTGATGCTCACAACCACATCATCATATCTTTCTGCGTGTTCTGTGTTGGCTTTGTTACTAACTCCATGCGCCACTTTAGGAGCAGCACTGTTAATTGGAACGCAACAGCGAATCGTGCAGGACTATCCCCAGCCGATGCTCCGAAACTTTACAATATTTAATTCGTAAATAAAATATTGAAAAAAAGTTTCTTGCCCGTGCTGGAAATCGAACCCACGACCTTGCGGTCGTGAGACGGACGCTCTTCCACTGCGCCAATCCCGGCCATGCATAGATCTAAATAATTTAGATCTATTATATTTAGATCTATGTATATAGTTAACCTGACTTCTGATTTGATTGGTTTGTTAAACGTGTGTTCGGATAACTTTCAATATCATACCTTAGACGACCATCACAAAAATGATGGGGCACTAAGAGAATCATCAAAATGATTTTCCAAGGCACATGCGCTAGTTTTTAGAACCAACTCAAATTGGATATCATGAAGATTAATAGTCATTGGCCAGTTTCGATGCCATAACCTCTGATTGGTCCATTCCAAAATTGACTGTATTTTGACAAAGAGTCGTCATTACACTGCTTTTTTTGTTTCAAAATATTTATACCATTCATCTTGCCATATCTTGTGCGAATTATAGTTCAACTTGATGAAAACAAGGATAGGATAGAAAGAAAATCCTAACAACTTTAGGCATTGAACTTAAATCAAACTAAGATAAACAAAGACAACATTTATTGAATAAATTATCGACGGTTTCAGCTTAATGTTGACCAGATTTGTTTTTTAATTCCCAATTGGTCTTTATTGTTGTCAATTTCCCTGAAATATGAAATAATAATTGATCACAGGAAATTCAAATAAAGAGTGTCAGATTCATTTATGAAAATTTGTATTCAAACGGGAATAATGTTCAATCAGTCATTATAAAGTTGGTATCATCTACTTGCCTCTTCATAAAGACTTTAAGGGTATCCTTTGTACTTTGAGGGACATAGTTTTTGCTGGCAATATATTTCAAAGCATGTAAACAGCCATCCAAATCCCATGCTATCTTTTCTTTTTTATCTTCATTCTGAAATACAAAATCCATATTAAAATGTGGTTGACGAACCTGTCAGTTCATGCCATTTCAACATCATTGGGCCAATCAGGTGGGTGAAGTATTTTTGTTCATTTTTTCGTCAATAGTCATCCAGTTTCGATTTTTTTCATCTCATTTATTCAATAAGAAGTTCATTCATTACACGACTTTTCTATTATGCAATGACCGTCACCAATCTAGGTTTTACCGTCAATCCTTGGAAGGCTGATTGACCAGCTCATGATTGAGCAGAATGTCAAAATATGACCTTGGTAAAAAAACTATTGGTTCTCGAGATATTGGGACTTTCATTAATTTGGTGAAAAATTGACACCTGAAATCAATTTTTCGGGTTCAACAGCTGCAGAATCCATATTTAAGAATTCTAAATTTCCTTACACATCCCAAATAGTTGTTTTAGAAGTGTTTTTTTTTATTCGAATTCATAGCTATTACGCAAATTGAAATTACATTCGGATCGAAGAGCATTACAAATCAAGTGATTTAATTATCACAGAGATAGTTCCTGAACTATAACTAACCTTGATCAAACCTAAATTCACCAATATGCTGTTATTCACCAACGAAGTTTGATCATTTTTCTGAGCCATAGTGAACAAATCCTTGTACAAAAATTCGGAACACTTTAAGGATGAATCCGCCACTTCAGGTTTTGTATCATTGCTTAAAGTCGATACTTTCATCAGAACTTTCATATAGTCTGCTATATCTTGGTGTTCCTATAAAACCAGAAGAATAAAACGGTCAGAAATTATCCAATTACGAAAAACCAGGAGGAAATAATCATCATTATTAGGAAAATTATTAATATCATGATTTTAAAAATGTATGAGTGTTGTCCACCTTCCTTGTATACACTTTTGTAGTCCATCATACAGGAACCTTTGCGAAAATGATCACCTATATTCTAGAAGTCAGTTTGTAGTTTCCTTTTGACCAATCGACCAACGTTTTCATTTCAGAAATTTCTTGTAAAAGAGGCGTTTTCTAGTGCGCAACTGAAAAACAGTGAATACATTCCGAATTGTCCGAAAAAAATTTAATGCACATCCACACCACCCCAAAAAAATGTCAAAACAATTACTTATATAATAATTCATTTCGATAGCCTTTTGGCTGTAAAAAATAATTTATCAACAACCAGCAATTTTTTGAAAATAGTTCAGTGGATGTTTCTCAAATCACATGGTGAAATCGTCTGACCAAATTTGGGGTGTCTGACGATTAGAAATTGTCTCGTTCCGGCTGGCCGTTTACAAATAAGAATATTCGCAAACAAATTCATTGGAAGACTTGTCAAAAGGAAGCCAAACATGGAGTGGAATAATAATCGTTTTTTAAAAAAAGATCCTGTTCCGTGGGCTATTGTACCTTCTTCAGAACTAAAAATCGTATCAAAATCAAATTTATCTACGGCCACTATAGAAAAATAGGCAAGAACAGACGAAATACAGTCTCAGTAGGTGAGTAGCTCATTACACGCGTTAAGCAAATCGCAGTTTTCGTATATTCTGCAAGTATATCATGATCGCGTAAACGCCGTCAACAGTCATTTTAATTGATTTTTTGGGATTTTCTCTCCTCGTTTCTATATAATAAAAATATGCGTATTATTTCAATATATTTGTAGTGGAACAAATCAGATGATTTGCCCCAAAATGTCACTGCGTTTAACAAATTTTTCTATCAGAGAGCCTAAAAGAAAAATCCAGTATCTTGTCAGTGACACTTTGTTTGAGAACATGTTTGAAGGAAAGAAATACAGATATATTGAAAAAATATCGAATTTTTACTTATCTTTGGACGTTTTGGGAACGAATCTGCTCCCGTTCTCAACATGAAGATGCAAAATATTTTTATTTGTCCAAAGATAAGTAAAAATTCGATATTTTTTCAATATATCTATACGGCCAGGTAGCCGTGCGGACAGAGTGTCTATATTCTAATCCGCAATCGCTTGCCGGTCGTGGGTTCGATTCCCATCGACTGCAGAAATTTTTCTGATGGCCCAAGAAAGTTTTTGGGATCGCACGTTAAAAGGTAAGGCCCGCGTCATTCCTTGCTCGCACAAGACTTCTGAGGGTTGCTCGTAAGGGGGCAACCGAAAGACGGATAGAACAATTTTAGAACAACTTTTTTGAACTATTTCTTTCCTTCAAACATTTTTTCAAACAATGTGTCACTGACAAGATACTGGATTTTTCTTCCAGGCTCCCTGATAGAAAAATTTATCAATCATCTGATTTGTCGCACTACAAATATATTGAAATAATATGCATATTTTCATTTTATAGAAACGAGGAGAGAAAATCCCAAAAAATCAAGTAAAATGAATGTACCACGTCCTCGATTAACCTACAGACAGTATTCACCATCAACAGTGTTTGACATAGCAACTGTCAAAAACAAAAATATCACAAACTGTTTTGAAAGACAAATATATGGCCGTAGGTAGAGTATAGTAGAGTCCCTGTAAATGCCTTAGACAAAAGTCTGGACACAGCTATACTTCTGTCCTTGTCTGTTTTCAAAAAATGCATTGATGATTGAATAAAGGAATAAGACATATATATCGAGCTCTGTCTCTTCAATTCTCCTAGTATCAATGATTGTCAGAAACAATTTTGAGGGTTAGATTATTTGTCAAACCGTTCATAGCCGTAGGTAGAAGTGAGAAATAGGGCTATTTTAACTAGAAGAACTATTAGATTTTCAAATAATGAACAACAGGGTGTTCAAATTTCGAATCGATAATTTTCATAATCAATTCCAATGGCTATTGCAAATTTTCGTCATCAGATATTTCTTCACTTCATCAGATATAAGAAAGATAATATAAGTGTTCTACGTGGTATCTGGTCTACATATAGCCAAGAAAATATAGTTGTTTTCTGTTGGAATATAAAAAAATAGAAGATATATAATTGTTTCAATATAATTTTCTCCGATTCTCTCAATTTAATAACATTCAGCAGAAATAAAAGTGACAAAATCAAAACAACAATATATATACCTATATGCCTTATCAATTGTGTCGGTTTCCCACCTCTTCCTGCAGTCTACACGCACATGTAAATTTTGAATATAATCTGAATTACAAACACCGTGGACTGATGACATGGCACATTGCAATTTCTCTAAATCTTCTAGTTTTGATTTCAAACTTTCAATTTCTTTTCGCATCATCTCATTCTCATTTTCTTTCTCTGCGATCGTATCATTCAGTAATTCCCAATACGATGACGACGGAACTCTTTTTTTGAACGTCTCTATTTTATTAATTGACGGCACAGCAGACTCTTCCAATTTGAAATCCAACAGGTTGAAAGAATCTATCAAAATGGGACTAAAATTCATCTTTTGTAGTGTTTTTACATGTAAATTTGAATATTTACCTCACATATTGCGGATTTCTTGAAATTAGTTTTCCATTCTGGACGTTTCATTGCATTCTTCCATGACATTATCTTCAAAGGATCATTCGGAAAATTGATTAACTTGAATCCCTTTTCTAATGAATTATTGCAATAATGTACGCAGCAGGACTTTGAAATAATTTAAAATGCTAAATTTTGGCGGGCGGGACGACTATGGTGTTTCGTCACATTGTCAGGTGGGCAAACCAAATGAAACAAAATATTAAAAACTCCAACGGCTGTCAGTTTTGTGTCCGGACTCTTGTCTAAGGTATATACAGGGACTCTAGAGTATAGTACGTAATGTGTGTTTTAAAGCAATTAGGCACTCATGGAATTACTCAACTTTTTCATTCGTGCGTAATATGCTCTTTACACTCATTATGTAATATACTATTACAAAGTGCAAGTGGATCCATAACATAGTTGTTTTGATATAATCCAACTTGTCACGTATCAAGTTCATGTTCATTAAGACGGGCCTCCACATTTTAACGCTGACCTTTTCGCAAGATGTCACTACGGTGAAGAAATCATAAATTAATTACGCCATCTTGAAAATTCAATGCAGAACTCTTCAATTTTTCGAAGCCTATATAAGTACAGAAATCTGCATCGATCTAGTACAATTCAAATCGACTGCCGATTGGACCACCTAGGGCGCTCAGGGCACAAAACATTATGACGGCTGACAGAACATTTACTTACAATTCCAGCCGATAGATGGATAAATGATGAATCATATTATTTTCAACATAGTTCAGTTGTTGATTGATATATCACGCTTACGCTGGGAAGATGCCCAACCTGTGTTATTTTCGAGTCGATGCCTCGCTCATCCCCTCGTCTATCGTTTAGCCACTGTGAGGTAACAACTCCACTAGGCACACAGAACATGTCTGAACTAATTGTACAGATTACTACACTTTTGTACAGAATTACAGATCCCATCCCACCGCGTGCTAACGCTCCAGAAATGTTTGTTTATCCTTGTCTTCTACGATGAGATGAGACCCGACCCGCCCGACCGGTTCCGATAAAAAAATGTTTGCTACGGTCGGTGAATCCCATGGACGTATATGGGGAACTTGCCATCCGCAACCGAAACAATAACAGCAGGATGCGAGTATTGATTTTTCCCTCGGTTCCTTGCGGAAGAGAGAAGAACATATTATGATCTCTCACTCAGTTGGGTTTTTACTCCGTGGCTTTTTTTTAAATTCCCTTGTGAATAACTTGTCATACTTTGCCTAGACCAATATATATGTATATCTGGAAAAACATCTCACGCCTTTTTCGTTGATTATTTTTTCACTCAATTTGTATCCATATTCCATATTGAAGTTTTGTATTTTTAAGACATTACCAAATATTGATAATATAATCAATCTGAATATGATAATTTCTTATTAGATTCTCATCAGTAGATAGAAAATAAATAGTCAGATATCTTTGAATCTTTGATTGTTAATAGTTCACTATAAAAATGAAATAAATCATCTATAATAGGCATAATATACAGATAGAGTGAGTCATAACTATTGGAACATATACAGTGTGTCCCACTTACCATGCTCACCATGGGTATCTTTTTAACGGTGAGAGATACGAGGTCGGTTAAATGACACCAAATGTGGAGTTTGTCAAGGCCAACTATAATGTGAAAAAAAAATTTGATAAAATCTATTCGTTTTTGTTTTATACGCAAAAAACAGATTTTGATCATTTTCATGCCTCCTCCGTAACTTGACTATTTATGAAAATATACAAATAGGAATTTCACATTCTCATGGCTGTTTTTCAAAGTGATTTCGAAAAAAATATGAAATTTATGCCAACTCTTCTAGAATTTGAGATATCAGCACCAACTTTAGTTTTTCAAATGTAGGTCATAGCTCACTATGACTTAGTTACAAATAACTTTTTTTCCCTCACAGATGATATGTCGCAGTAATAGTTTTGTGTTGATAACAACGGAGTTGTCGTCATTTATGTATACACAAACAAAAAATTATTTGGAAGCCGCCATCTTGAATTGATAAATTTTAACAAAAAAATCATGATCTCCGACCTCAAAAACCCCCACTCACCAATTTTGAATGGAATCGGACCAAATCTTGTCCGCCATCTTGGAGCAGCCATTTTTTTTAATTTCAACAAAAATTCCACGATGTATTGTCACCGAAATTATGAACACCTGCCAAAGGACCCCGCACCGCATTAATGGGAAATTGGCTTTCGGTGAATTTACTCGAATTTTTGATATATTGTAGAACTCGTGGTGCTGATCAAATGTCTCCATT